ATCTCATAGGACTTCGTGACTCTCAAAACTGTGATGAAGACCGTTCACAGTGCTTGGATTGCCACAAAATCAAGAAAGTCAGCAGCACTTTATAGAATATTTATTAATTTTGAGAATACGTATAAATGAGACAGATTTACAGCATCAGCTAGCCACGATAACTTGAATAGTATTAGTGTATCCAGCACCTGCAAAAATAAAGCTTATAATCGAAAATGAACTTAAGTTTGTCTTTAATCCCACCTTGGCGCCATCCAGTAACGAGTACGATCATATCTCCAGCCTTGATAAAGCCCCGGTCTTTGCCTGCCTGCACCCCATACTGTATGCGTTGCTCTATATCCTCTTTCCAGTTTTCGAGACGAGGCTCTAAAATACTTCGCTTGGTCTTTGTATGTCGGCAATTTGCAATTTTTTGACTGATTCGCAAACTTTTCTCAAGAATGGCTTACTGATGATTTTCAAAAATTACACAAATGAGTTATTGACCCCTGACCAACTGAATAATTCTCAAGATTTCCAAAAAATTCATTCAGCTTTGTGAAAAATTTTTTTGGGTGTTCAGGGGTTGGCCAAAAATTAGAAAGCGTTCCGATTTCCGTCTATAAGGGCGCAAAGCTCCTTCATACAAACAAATCCTTTGCTTCCTTTCCCAAAAATTTTCTTGTACCAGATGCGGCTACCAGCAGCACTTAGACGCTTGGGTTCTACTCTATATTATCAGATGCCAACTTACTCGACCAGTAGAGTGGGAACACACTCCTATAAAGATGGAGCTGACGGGCTACTTGAGCATTTCTCGAAACTGAAATCACGGGAACTGGTGGACGATAGCGGGAGCACAAGGCGGCGGTACTAAATGAGGAATTTTGAGATTAGGGGAAGTACGCAATTTATAGGTTAAATCAGGTTTCTATTCGTTCTGATAATGAAAAAATGGTTAAAAAATCTGAGCTAACCTTCCCGTGGTTGTAATAAGCACAATAGCGCTGGCTTTGCAAGATACAGCTGCTGAAACGGCTCCGATGGCTGTGGTATGTGTCATATCGGTTGGTTTCCTTGTGTTAAACATAATCTCTTCGTAGTACCTCGTGTAGTAAAAGGCAACTTCAGCTTCTTTACAAATCTAAACGAAAAGTAAGTATGAGTCCAGGAGGTTAATACTCAGAATCAAATTCCGCCGAGCAAACAAATTTTGCAGCGGTTTCGCAGGAATCTGTTTACAATTACAAAAGTGGAAACGTTGAAAATTCCGCAAGATCTTCGCGTTCGAATGGTTGTACTTCCGCAAGACTTTTTACAAAACGCTGCGGAAAGTCCGAAAAATGCCAACGGTTCTCCAGCACTTTGACCTGCCAGTACTACCGCAGGTTTTTGAATGTGTTGCCTGATATTATCTCGCCAACGAATGGAGTGCATTTTCGAACTTGTCATCCGTAGTGCAGAAGATCAGGGGATTATTCGGAACTTCTGCAGAACCTCACTTAGGATTCTCCGCAGCATGTTTGCGGAACTTCCGCAAGTGACCCGGTGGAACTTTCCCAAAAGTTCTGCGGAAGTTTCAGTCAGTTGTCTGAATAGCTCAAAAACTTACTGAGTGCATCATACAAAGAGCTTCATTAGGGAAATCTCCTTTAGCTGTTTCACCAGACAACATCACACAGTCAGCACCGTCAAGAACAGCATTTGCTACGTCACTGCCTTAAAAATTGATAAAATGAGGAAAGTTTGAAAATTCTTTTGCTTACATTCAGCCCTAGTTGGCCTAGGCTTTGAAATCATGCTTTCGAGCATTTGAGTGGCACAAATCACCGGTTTCCCAGCAAGATTACACTTCGCTATGAGCATTTTTTGAGCAAGAAAGACCTAAAAAACTTGGTGAAATCATCTTTAAAAAAAATTACTGTTAACCTTTTCAGGAGCGATTTCAATACCAAGATCTCCTCGTGCTACCATTACTCCATCTGCAGCGGCTACGATCTCATCCGAGTTCATTACGCCTTCGTCACTTTCAATTTTCGCAATGATTTTGATATTTTTACCTCTGTAAATTCAAATTTTGAATTGCCGGGCATCATACAGAAGTATGTAAAACAATGATATATGGAAAAACGCACTTTTCTCCAAGCACCTTCCTTATCTCATGGATTCCGTTCGCATTACGTATGAAAGAAGCAAAAATCATATCCACTTCCTGTTCTACACCGAACAAGAGATCAGCCTTGTCTTTTTCGGTTACGACTGGTAGATCAACGGCTATTCCAGGTAAATTTACACCCTGAAAATCACAAGAGATTGATAGAAAAAACTGCAAAAAATTCCTCTGTCTCGTTGAATTGTTTCAAAATATTCTTACCTTCCTATTTCCTAACACGCCACCATTCTCAACTTCACACATTACAGAATTTTCATTAACTTCTTCAACCAGCAATGAAATCAACCCATCATCTATGAAAATACGAGATCCCTAAACAAAGATTTTTATATAAATATTTCTGCAAAAAATCAAATCGTACCTTTTCTACAACACGAGGTAGATTTTCATAGTCGACATATAAAATAGTTGAGGTTCCACTTTTTTCAACTCCTTTGTCGGTCGATAACCGGATGCTTTTTCCGGAAGTCAGGATGACCTCCTTCTTCTGAACGGGACTTTTATTAGGCTTTTAAATTCTTAAATTTTGAACCAACCCCTGCCAAAAGACCGGTCCTAATTTCTGGCCCTTTCGTGTCAAGAGCGATTGCTATAGGATTTACATGATATTTAGCAGCTTCACGGATTCTAGCTATAGATGCTGCGTGCTTCTAAATCGATCTTCAAATTTGGG